TTGTGCATAGGGAAAGTTATGAGCAAAATATGAACTATGAGAGATTTTGGCTCTAGTTTAGGTATCCGCCCAGACGATCCCTCCCTAAACGGGGCATTGGTCCTTGACTTCAGAAACACCCCCTGCTGGGGAACGACAAAATGGGCTGTCAGGCCTAAGAGAGAGAAGTTGAAGAATTCTCCCTTTTAACATCAGAACCAACCTGGGAGATGTACCCATTTGCTTTGAAACTTGATCTGCAAACCCAAGGCTGATTGGCAAGTATTTTAACCCTTTAACCTCCTTTCTGTTACCTCTTTGCTGTGCTGTTGTTCTCTGCATATTTATATATATATTAGTTACATCTTTTTTTCTGTAAATATTTTTATTGCACCCTTTTGACCTTTTAGTAATAAATCTTTCCTTCTGAAAGTGTTGAACTGTTTCTATAGCTCTTTATTGCAACTTACGAATTCTTGCCTCTAAAAGAACGCTACCGTGTTTGTTTAACCCTCTGTATAACCGGTCTGCGGTGACCGTGCTATACAGATGATTATCTCAACCATTATAGTGTTATTACTGAGATTGCAGAGTTGTCTCTTTCTCTGTACAAAAAGGAGGTGGTGGTAGTGTGAAGAGTTAATTGCGTAATTAACCTGACCCAGTAACAAGCGCATTCAGGCTGCCGGTACATCGATTGGTAGTCCATGAGCTGGAAAATCATTGTGCAGGGTGCAGCTGGGTGTGCCATTGTTACGCACGTGACATCGCGGTTTCAGATTGGCTAGTCCTTCGGTCACAAGTTTGGTGAGGAGCTCAGGGGTCTGACGCCGCAATCGCCACACCCCATAGCATGCATCGGACTCCACCAGTCATTATTCCATCACTACTCCCTGTGACACTGATGTACATATTTAACTCTTTGCTCCATTAATCCTCTCATTACTAATCTTCACTTTAGCATTACACTGCTTATGTATCCCAGGAAGCCCATCACTGTGCTGTATTCTCTGAGGCCTCTCTCTCCTTCCGTGTCTTCTGGCCAGGTCTGTAGGATACCCCGTACTGCAGTTGGGCCCAATGTTGGGGTACCAACTGCTAGAGAAGGAAACCATAACACCAATCCCTTCTCTACCGAGGCCCTCTGTTACCTTCGCCAAGTAACTCTGCTTCCTGGCAGCCTGGCTGCTCTTTTTGTAATAAATACTTGTACTCCAAATCACTGTAGCAGGAAACCACCCTCAGGGGTTAACCTCACTGCATGTAGAACACTGGTCCCGTGTCCATTAGACGTAAATGTCTCTCCTTAATGTGACCATGCATTGTGATATACCATGCAAGCATCCTTTATGTGTTTACTCTTGAATAAACTTCAGACCAGGCAAAAATCCTTTAACAATGGACCTCCCTTTACTGAAGGCTTCAATTAAAGTTGGGTTTACTTCATAGTCTCAGTAAACACAGGTAGCATTCAGTACATTTATTTATTTTATTTCAGGTACTTATAAAGCGCTGTCAATTTACGCAGTGCTTTACATATATATTGTACATTCACATCAGTCCCTAACCCTCAAGGGGTGTACAGGTCCCTAACTCCCATTCATACATACACACACTAGGGCCAATTTAGACAGGAGCCAATTAACCTACCAGCATGTTTTTGGAGTGTGGGAGGAAACCAGAGTACCTGGAGGAAACCCACGCAAGCACAGGGAGAACATGCAAACTCCAGGCAGGTGGTGCCGTGGTTTGGATTCGAACCAGCGACCCGAGTACTGCCAGGCAGAAATGCTAACCATTTAGCCACTGTGCTGCCCTCATTCTACATCACTCTAACCCTGGTGACCCTGTCCATTACTTGGTCTTTTGGAGTTACAAAGTCAGTTCAATGAAAGCACAGAGCCCAGCTTCAGAAACCCCAAAAGGGTTCCCACCAATGGGCTGCATAAGTTCAAAAGACAACTACATCTTCACACAGGTCCTACTCACTCTCCCACACATGGACTGATCCAGCTAAAGGTTGCTTCCCCAAAAATGTATAATCTTCCAGCTTCAGGAACCCCAAACAGGTTCCTGCCAATATGCTGTAGAAGTACAAAAGCTGACTACATCTTCATTGACATTACACAGTGAGATGACCACATCAATGAAATTAGGCACTTGCCTACACCGTGATCTAGTGATTTCCATTAGATACTGGGACCAATGTTGAGCAGCCACACTCCTACATTCGAAACACAGCCACACTACTGCATTCGAGGTTAGCTGCTCCACATCCACATGTGTGCTATTCACAGATTGCATTGCATTTTCTCAATGGATGCAAAGCATTCTCTGATTGTATGAAGGTGGAGAGCATAAAGTTTTCCATCTCTGTACCTCATGCAATCAGAGAATATTCTGCATTCTTTGAAAATTATGTAAGCCGTGTACCGGGGTGGGCCCCCAGGATACAGTGAAGTCACGAACGAGGAAAGCAACCCCAACACCAGCTTTTGCCACAACAGAATTTTACTTAGATTTGGCAAATAAACACAACCACAAATGCTAGAAACATACAATACATTTACATACACCCAGCCCAAAGGCTGAGACCCTTGTGCTGCACAGCACGGCGCCTTCTGATGGATGAAGGTAGAAGGAGTAGTAATTTACCTACTGGCGGGCACAACTAAGCTGCCACACCTTACCTGTTATTACCCTAAAAGTGCAGGAATCGGTGTATGGGTGTATGGTATGGGCTAGCCTGCGGTGCAGCACAACAGCTTACAATCTTACACAAATCTACAGTATTCCCTCTCCCATAACTGGTCCTGTAGCACATGCCTGAGTATTCCTTCTGAGCAAAACGCCAGTCTGGCTTGAGTTTTTAGGATTTTATCAGCTCTCCAATGTGAAATGTCACTTTAAGTGGTGGAGTCCTTCCAATAATCAGTAACAACACTTGCGGCCTGACACAACAGAGACCCTAACTAACTATCGTCCTGGACTCAGTCTCAAGGCGCCAACACTGAAATGAGGTGCGTGCACGATCTTACCGACCCGGGTCTGCTTTGCATACGCTGGTGACTCTGAACAGAACAAATGTTGCTTAGTTCCTCTGCTCTCATCAGACTTTCTGGCAGCAATCTCGTCAGCTTCCTGGCAGCAATCTCACCAGCTTCCTGGAAGCAATCTCTGGTTAGTGAGGGACACTTTCACACCCGGATGTCATCGGATTCTCAGCTCACATGGCCCCTTCATTCAGCATCGTCCAAAACATGGCTGCAGTCTCCTCTTCCTGGTCACTAAACTCCAACTCTGAGTGCAAAACCCCACCTCTTCATGAATATACAAATATCTATGCAGTCTGAGCCTGTGTTAGAAAAACAGTGACCTCTTGTGGCTAAACCGCAGAATGTCAGTCAAAACATTAATTTGCTGCACACAATAATTTACTGCACGCAGTGTTCAAACAATGAGAGCTGGTTCCCCATCTCACAATTACACCAGAGCTATTGAAGATGATTGTAAAGAGTAATGTTTTTTCCTTGATTTCTGAGACTAAGTGGGGTTTAGAAAGCAACTACTGTATATATTTTCTCTTAGTAGGCACCAGTATCATCCTCTGGGATATTTAAGATGAAGTTCCTCCCCTTTCTCCTCTCCTTCCCCCCTTTCCCTCTCTCCTCCCCACTCCTTTTTTTCCCCTTTCTTCTTATGTTATAATTAGCATATTTACAAACTTTTATAATATTACTAATAGATGGATATATACATATATTAGTACTGACAGCTGGTGTGTGGTGTGGGTTATTTGAAATCGATATGCCAAAACTTATTTGATAACTCTTTAAATAAATTTGATTCCAGTGCATATATTTTCGTAAAACATGTTTTTAGTAGCCGTTTGAGGAAATGTTTTAGAGAAAAAAAAAATTGTAATAAAATTTGATGCATTTTATGTTGATTGTTTGGATTTACATTATTTCGCTACTGGAGTTATACTTAAAGTCCCCCCCCCCTTTTTCTTTTATGTTGTTTTCTATGATATGAGGTTGGGGATGTTACCTCCTCTAGTGATATATTGTATTGTAATTTATTCTTTCATTTACGAGCATGCATGGTCTTGGTCTCAGAATTTTTTTTGGACTGATACTGTACTGATTACAAGAATATAGTTTCCTCTGTTATCATACGAGAACAATTTTCGTGATTGTCCCTTTGGATATTGTTTCATGAACTGTTGTGAATGGCTGTCAAAAGTTGTGTACTAACGATCAGATTATCGTACGATTGCTCTGAAAGTGATTTTTATCATCCGATTTTCTGTGTACTAGGCATAAGGGTTACAAAAAAAAGTTTTCCTTACCCAAACATTTGCTCCCCTGACAGCCGGCACTTTCCTTTACTCCCTGACAATGTACTGTAAGTTGGTGTCCTCACATCCAGTGCACGGCTATTGGTTCTACATTAGGCTTTACGATATCACAGGACCCTCAAGTGCTGGAGCATAGAGAAGAAGAGGCTGTGGGCATAAATACTTCAATGTGAAGGGAGCCTATGGGAGTGGATGATCAGGTAAGTAGAATTATGTTTTCCGGTTCCATAGACCTAAGCAAAGCATTTAACCCTTGAGGTGCAGGGGCAGCCCTACTGCAAGGGAGAGTTTTTACTTTTGCTGGCACTTGACTGGTATTTAACCCCTCGCCTACAGGACACTTATACCCCCTACCTGCCCAGGCCAATTTCCAGCTTTCAGCGCTGTTGCACTTTGAATGACATTTGCGCGGTCATGCAACACTGTACCCATATGAAATTTGTATAATTTTTTTGTAACAGAGCTTTATTTTGGTGGAATTTAATCACCTCTGGGTTTTTTATTTTTTTCTTAAACAAACCAAAAACCACTGAAAATTTTGAAAAAAAAAAGTTTTTTCTTAGTTTTTGTTCTAAAATTTTGTAAATAAGTGATTTTTCTCCTTCACTGATGTGCGCTAATGAGGCTGCACTGATGGACACTGATAGGTGGCACTGATGGGCACTGATGAGGAGACACTGGTAGGTGGCACTGATGGGCATTGACAGGCATCACTGATGGGCACTGAAAGGCAGCACTCATATATGGCACTGATAGGCGGCACTGATTGGCAGCACTGACAGGCACTGATAGGCGGCACTGACTGGCACTGGTGGGTGACACTGAAAGGCAGCTCAGATGGGCACTGATATTTGGTGTTGATATGCACTGGTAGGCACTGAAATGTGGCATTGATGTGGCACTGATGGGCACTGGCAGGTGGCATGGATGAGCACTGACAGCTGGCACTGATAGACCCTAATAGGTGGCACTGCTGGGGCTACACAGATCATCAGGGCACACTGATCATCAGTGCCCTGATGATCAGTGAACATGTCCCCTCTGAGGGATGCCGATTACCTGCTCTCCTCTCGAGCTGTCAGCGTGACAGCTCGTGAGGACAGAAATGCCGATAACCAGCATTTCCCTATTTACATGCGATCAGCTGTGATTGGACACAGCTGATCACATGACCGAGCCAACATCTTCGGCTTTGTTGATCGGTGATCTGAGGGACACAGTGCACTGCCGATCGCCGCGCTGCATGCTCCCGGAGTCGTGCATGCGCGGTTAGAATGGGATAACGTCATATGACGTCCTCCCAGAACGAGAGAACCGCCTTGTGTCCGTCATTTTACTGTATGATGGGTGGGAGGCGGTTAAAGGAAACACCACTTCATGTAATTCACTAGCACACACTTTTCTAAGTGAACATCCTCTATTTCTTTAGTACATTGTAAATCAACGCCATTACTTTGCCCTGTAGTGACATAATATGGGTCCCAGGCCTGAAAGGAGGTCTCTCTGTACATGTTTCATTGTCAGACCCAGGAGAAAACTTCTTGATTTTTAAAGAAATTTACGATTCCCAAGAAAACATTTACCTTTTTTATTTATGGATTTTCCATGGGCAATTAAACCAAACAGAGTTTATTCCAGAGCTCTCACACCTCTGAAGAAATGCACCATCATCTGAGAATGAATGCTCTGCTTAAATAACTCATGTGCTGTTCCTAAGGCCCTCCAGCAATTGTTGTTATTTTTCTTGTAGACAGGAACAAAATACAAATTGTAACCCAGCCCCTTGTTGCCACAGGGCCTCCCAACACATTGATCCTCTAAGAGTAAAAAAGGTTAATCAGGTTAGCAGAACCAAAAGAGCACATTGTAGTATCAAGAAGACATTGAAATATATATAGAGAGAGAGAGGGAAGAGGAGAGAAGAGAGAGGGGAGAGAGGGGGGAGAGAGAGGGGACAGAGAAGGAGAAGAGAGAGAGAGAGGGAAGAGAGGGGGGAGAGAGAAGGAGAAGAGAGAGAGAGGGAAGAGGGAGAGAGAGGGAAGAGGGAGAGAGGGGGAAGAGAGAGAGAGAGAGGGAAGAGAGAGTGAGGGAAGATAGGGAGAGAGGGAAGAGAGAGGAGAGAGAGGAGGGAGAGAGGGGGGGCGAGGGAAGAGAAAGAAGAGAGAAGAGAGAGGGGCGAGAGGGGGACAGAGAGAAGGGGGAGAGAGAGAAGCGGGAGAGGGGGGAGAAAGAGGGAAGTGAGAGAGTGGGGAAGAGGAGAGAGAGGGGAGGGAGAGAGACAGATGGGGAGAGAGAGTGAGGGAAGAGCGAGAGAGAGAGCGCGAGGGAAGAGAGAGAGAAGAGCGAGGGAAGAGAGAGAGAGAGAGAAGAGCGAGGGAGAGAGGGAAGAGGGAGAGGGAAGGGAGAGAGGGAAGAGGGAGAGGGAAGAGAGAGAGGGGGGGGGGAGAGCGCATGCACGCGTGAGAAAGAGAGCGTGGGAGAGATAGGAGAGAGAGGGGAGAGAGAGGAGAGAGAGAGGGAGATAGAGAGAGACCGGGGAGAGGGGGGGAGGGAGAGGGAAGAGAGAAAGAATGGGAGAAAGAGAAGGGGGAGAGGGGGGGAGAGAGAGAAGGGGGAGAGGGGGAGAGAGAGAAGCGGGGGGAGAGGGGGAGAAAGAGGGAAGTGAGAGAGTGGGGGAAGAAAGAGAAAAGGAGAGAGAGGGGAGGGAGAGGGACAGAGGGGGAGAGAGAGTGAGGGAAGAGCGAGGGAAGAGAGGGAGCATGAGAGCGAGGGAAGAGAGCGAGGGGGAGAGAGAGTGAGGGAAGAGAGAGAGAGCGTGAGAGCGAGGGAAGAGAGTGAGAGAGATAAGAGCGAGGGAAGAGAGAGAAGAGTGAGAGGGAAGAGAGAAAGAAGAGCGAGAGAAGAGAGAGGAGAGAGAGGAGAGAGAAGAGCGAGGGAAGAGAGAGAAAGAGAGAGAGAGAAGAGCGAGGGAAGAGAGAAATAAGAGAGAGGGAAGAGAGAGAGAAGAGCGAGGGAAGAGAGAGGGAAGAGAGAGAGAAGAGAGAGGGAAGAGCGAGGGAAGAGAGAGTGAAGAGCGAGGGAAGAGAGAGTGAAGAGTGAGGGAAGAGAGAGTGAAGAGCGAGGGAAGAGAGAGAGAAGAGCGAGGGAAGAGCGAGGGAAGAGAGGGGGAGAAACCAGCTATGTGCTTTATAGTACACATAGTAAGTGTATTTTACAGTGCCAACCAGGGGTGGACTGACAACTCATGGGGCCCCCGGGCAATAGGGGCATCATGGGGCCCTCACCCACACTCAAAACCACACCCAAAAAAAGCCTATGAAAGGTACTAGGGGCATCTCATGGGCCCCAAACTTACCCTGGGCCCTCGGGCAGTGCCCGAATGCCCAAATGGTCAGTCCGCCCCTGGTGCCAACTAATCATGAAGTTACAGGGTTAATCAGAGATCATGCAAATTATTGTTGTAATAGAAGAAATTAAGTTGTTTTTTTTTAATTGCTAGTGATGTGTGAGGATGCCTTTAACTGCCCTAGATAAGGATGAAAACCATGGCTCTCCTTAACCTTGGACTCCTTGGTATTATTAAATTATTAATAATAATTCTAGGGCAGTAGAAGGATAGACATTAAAATGCGGACATATACAAATAAAGTGGTTTTCAACCTCCGACATGAAATATGAACAAAGCATACCCCTCTATAGGGTGTACTTGTCTCAATTAAAAGCACTAAGTGCAATTTCTGTCTGCTGCCCCATTCCTCTGCTATCAGCATGAATCACTTTTGACAAGTTTTCTGGACATCAAGAGAAACAGGGTGACAGGGGAGAGACCTTTCTCTGTTCCTGTGTGCTGCGTGAAGGGGGTGTGTTCTTTAACTCCAATCAACTCTCAGGGCTCTCCTCATTGGGCTCTTCAGATTGTAACTTTACCTCTCCGCCCCCTTCTTTCTGACAACTCAGGCAAGCTTTATAAATTCTGGACTTTGAATGGATGTAGAGAAGAGAAGACCACAGATAAACAGGTACAACATATGTAGGAGGATTTGTTTCATCTCTCTGTATCACCTGAGGTCAGTCACTTCACTGGGTTTTGCCTTCCTCTGGATCAACTGTGGGTATAGGATTATAACTTTTTTTTTTTTTTAATGGTTGACCGACCTTCTCTCAGCCCTTGAAGGGTTCTATAAGCCAGGAGGCAGAAGCGAGCCTTCAGGTTATGTGACGGCTGTGATTGGCTGTCACAGCAATTACATGATTGGAAAGCTCCTGATCACAGGTATGGATCAGGATCTTACAGATCACCACTAGTTACCAAGCAGGTTATACAATATTGTCAGGATCTTTTCAGAGCCTGGACCGACTCTGTGACGTCAGCCAAAATTGGTTGTTGGCCCGCTGTTGACTGAAAACAGGTCTCTGGAGTGCAGAAAGAACTGCCCTCCTGTGATCCATAGGAGAAGTACAGCCAAAAAAGCTTTGACTATACTTCTCCTTTAACCTTTTGAGGACCATAAGATTACGGACGCCAAAAGAATCAATTTTTTGTTTTTAAAGTTCGTATACTTCAGTTGCTGTAACTAAGCCATTTCACGAAATAATTGGCAAAAAGCTAGATCCATTTGTTGATAAGAACTAATATTTTGACTCAAATTTAAAAAAAAAAGTATTTTAAGTTCTTAATCAGATGATACAGGCAATTAAAAATATGGGACAAATACGTCCCTTGGTCCTCAAAGGGTTAAGGTTATGTACATTCACAAATACAAATGTTTTATTATAGTCTACCTGATTTTACATTTGATGAATGTTGAAGCAGTTTCAAGAATTTTAAAGCAAAGCCATGAATTGTGCATGTATAAAGTGTGACACCTACTTCTATCTACCACTGCTGGTTGGCAAGATTATTGGTGGGTAATTTGTGCAGACACAGCAGAAATATCTGTAGGCAGGTTTTTGGTCACTCTAATGCTGCTCCTTTTCTAGACTTGGCCATGCATGGCTATATTCAGGTAATATGTCATGTGTTCTCAGGTAACATAATGTTAGGTCTTTTTAAGACAAAGAAACATCGACATTGCAAATGCAAGTATCATAATATTAATGGACTGCTGTCTTTCAGCATCAACATGCTTGAAATCCGCATGAAATGATAATTAGCATTACATAATTTTATTTGGGTAAGAGAATGTTCTTCTTCCTTAATATTCTTCTGTGCCTTAAGGCAAGGAAACGAAAAATGACAAGATGCAGTTGTTTAATTGCTTGTAATTTTCTAATAAATGCTTACTCTAACTTTTTAAACTCCACATTAAAACACATTTTAGAATGTAACCAGAACGAGCTTTCAGAGTTTTTCCCTCTAGCTGCATAGGATGTTTAAAAAGCAATAATAAAGGCAATTAAAAATAAATAAATAAATAACTAACATGTCATACATACCTGCTCTGTGCAATCCCAATGCTTCTTTTGTAAAGAACACTCCCCTGCGCTTAAATGGATAAACCCTACTCTAAGCAGCTAAACACCTTACTTCAACCACAAAGTGCAGAAAATAAATAAATAAAATTGGTGTAGCGCTAAATAAACACTAACGTGTATCATAAAGATGAATAACACTCATTAAACCGTGTATACAAAAATAAATCATAAATAAATAAGTGTTATATAAAGTGCAAACACTACAATACATAAATATTAGATGATTCCTTCAACATAGGGAATCAATAAAATGTGAACATAAAAAACATTAAAAAAAAACAGTGCAAGTGTACAAACCACACTCAGTGAAAATAAATGTCCACTCCAAGTCCACCCGCTGCACTTATAATATTGAATAGTGCTCCACAAAAAAAAAATCACGTGTAAACTCAGCCCAACGTGAAGTGAATCCAGTGCCAAATCCAAAAATAGCCAAAATGCCCCCTCACCTCCTTACAGTGACCACAAGGGCCAGCTCGCTTTTTAAGGGTAAGCCACACTTTCACAGGGATATCCT